GAGATGGAGTTTCACTGTGTTAGCCAGGATGGTCTCAGTCTCTTGACCTCATGATCCCCCTGCCTCGGCTGCCCAGAGTGCTGGGATTATAGGCATGAGCCACTGTGCTCAGCTGCTTCTGACCTTTTGACCATTAGAATCTGGAGAGGCCTTTGTAGATGGCAGGGATTGCACATGCATAGCCCCAGAGGCAGGGAGGCCAGGGGGTGATGAGAGGGGATGGAAGGGATGAGAAGCTGTGTGTAGAGAGAGGGCTGAGGTGTGTGTGCGGAGGCCGCGGATGCCAAGGGACGTGTTTGAGGCTGTGTCCCAGCAGGTTTTGGAGGGCACAACTGGGAAAAGGCAGACGGAACATTCTAGGGTGGTGGAAATGTTCCATATTGTGATAGGAGTGTGGGCTGCATGACCATACAAAATGGTCAAAACTCAGCAAATGAACATTTAAGGTTTGTGCATTTTACTGTATCTAAAGATATAAAGAAAAGAATCAGAACGGCCTGCAGGGTGAAGTGTTAAGTGGTGGTATACTAGTGTATACCTTTCAAACGCATAAAAAATACAAGATGGATTAACGGATGGAGGCAAATATGACAAGAATGTGAATGGTGGGTATAGCTGGTGGGAACAACGTGGCAACCATGTGTGTCCACTGTACGATTCCTTCAGCTTTGCTGCAGGTATGACAATTTCATGAGGAAATAGTTGGGAAAAACCTTGTATCTTGTGTGTAATAGACTCTCAATAAACAGCAGCTGTTGTTATTACTTTGGGACTATTATTTCAGACCCCTAAGAAGTGAGTGAGGAATGTTTTTAAGATAAAAAAAGATGCCATCCATTTACCAGTCCCAAGTTTGAGGAGTTGGATCCATCTTCATCTCCCTTAGTCCTAAAATCGGCCCTGTGAGGCAGGTACTGTACTCGTTTACCAGACGGAAGGAATGTGAGGCTCAGAGGAGGGAAGTGGCTGGCCCAAGGTCATATGCTAAGTTGGGGGTTGAGCAGGGTTTGAACCTGGGTCATCCTGATGCTGGGTCCAGCCTGGGTACCTCCTGCCTACCCAGATGATCTGGAATGGCTAGTGCCTGCCTTAGAGCTAGAAACTAGATGTGTCTGGGGGTGCTTCCTGTTCCCCAAGCTTGGGGCCTAGCTGGGGTCTCCAGGAATGTGCCCAGCCCGAGGGCTGATAAAACCAGCTCATGTGACACCATCTGGGACTGAGTGCAGGTCTTGGAATTAGCCACAAACCGCAAAACCTGTGGTTTTGGGGCTCAACGGCCAATTTGCAGAGCAAATCTGAATTCCGGTCTCTTGTAATTACACGGTATTTCCCTCTCCGGGGTCGGGGCTCAGTCTCAGGCTGCTATATAAGAGTGACCTGTGACCAGACTCAGCTAAAGGCAGAGGGTTCGGGGAACGGGGACCTCTCAGGACTCAGCGCCAGGGACCTCCTGCGGGTAAGAAAGAGACCCTTGTCTACTCAGTGTCCAGTGGGGGAGGCAGAGGCCTGGGAAGTAATGAGGAGAGAGTCCCAGCCTAGAGATCCATCAGAATGGCCCCTCTCCAAGTTCAGGTGTCTTATCTTTGCATAGGCCTAGTCAGGAGAGCCTCTTGGAAATCAACAAAAAGGCCTGGGTGATACCAATTACATGCGTGAACAGAGCTGCACTCATCTTTCCCAGGGATGTCGGGTACCCAGGACCTTTTCTCAGATACTCCTCAGCTGTTTGCTGATGCCAGAAATCCTTCCATCCATGCCCATCTTTTTAATTAAAAGGGGTGATTCCTTTTTGAACGCAGCTCTCTGGAAAGCGAGATAGGGATGAGATGAGGAAGCCAGAAAAAAAAAATCCTGCATATAGCAGTCCTTTTTATTCTAGTATAAATTATTGCATCCAATATTCTTCTGGGAGCAGATAGGAGTGGGGAAAGAATTTGGGGACTTTGTGAAGTCCAAGAGAGGTGGGGACAGAACAAAGAAGAGAGGGTGCCTAAACAGAGATGGCTGGAACCAGCAACTTTTTGGCTCAGGTGAGAGGCCATACCCTGTGCTGACCCCCGAGGCTGGTGGATGTGTAGCTAGGGCTGATGGAGTGAGAGAAGCGGGTGAGGGCACAAAGGCAGCAAAAGAAAATTTCCCGGAGGCTATGCAGCTCCTTCCAAAACGTATGCCTCACTTCTCCAATATCATGACACTTCTCTCCCGCTTCTTAGGGGTCTGAAATAATAGTCCCAAAGTAATAACAATAGCTACTCTTTATTGAGTGTCTACTATGTATGAGATACAACTTGTTTGTGATTTGGGAACAGAGGTTCAAAAACGTAAAGTCTCTTTTCTAAGGATTAGGACCCAGATAGCTCTGACCCAGAGCCATTAATCTTAACATAGTGTAGAACTGACTCCTCCAAAGAGATGGGAAGAGTGTTTGCTGGCGAGCTGGATGTGTGGAAGGGTGGCTAGAGGGATGTGTGGATGAGTAGATGAAGTGATGGAAAGATGAATGGATGGATGGAAGGAAGGAAGGAAGGGTGGCGGCTGGATGGATAGAAGGATATAGGGCTTGCCAGCTGTTTGGATGACAGAAGGATGTTAGATACACAGGAGGATGGATGGATGACTGGATGGGCGGATGGATGAATACACAGAAGAAGGAGAATGTGTAGATGGGTGAACGCATGGGTGGGTGGACGGATGGATGGATATACGGCTTACCAGCTATTTGGATGACAGAGGGATAATAGATGGGAGGATAGCAGGTTGAATGGATGGATGGAAGAATAAATAAGAAGGGGAGAATGAGTAGATGAGCAAATGGGCGAGTGAGTAGACGGGACGATGCTGGAGAGATTTCCTCAGAGCCTGCCAGCTCCCAGTTTGGTGTTATGGTTGGAATCCCCATTACCCATCTCCCTGATGCTCAATTTGTCAATCTCATCTTGGGAGATAATTAGACATCCATTCTCTGAAACTTTATGTCACCAGATTCATTTCAATTTGAAAAACTCAAAAGGTGGTATCTGGAATTCTGGACCCTGCCTTACTGTGTGACCTTGGCTGGTTTCCCCCTGTCTCTGGGTCCCAGGGTCCTGAAGTGACCCTTGACTGGGGCTGCCTAGTGCCACCTGCCGGCCAGGGTGGTGGTGCTCAGCCACATCATCATCTGCACTTTCTCCTCCACAGAGAAGCAGCACGAGCATGTGGACGGCGTGGTGTGTGGCCACTCTGTCCATGGTGGCTGTGTGTGGCACCTGCCAACAGACAAACACGGTCCTCAGGGTGACCAAAGATGTGCTGAGCAATGGTGAGTCCAGCACCGAAGGGGTGAGGGTTGGCACGGGGTGAGCAGGGCAGCTCTGCCAACTCTGAAGTACCCAGGGACCTCCTCCTGCTGGCAGAGTCCACATCAGGTGGCTGGGTGACTTCTGCTCTCTGGGCCTTAGTTTCCTCTTTTTCTTTTGATTGCCATTTCCTGAGCACCTACTATGTGCCAAGCACCATACTGTGACTTT